CGCCGATGCGCTGGGCATCTGCTTCCATGTCGGCAGCCAGACCATGACCCCGATGCCTATTCGGCTGCGATGGGATGGGTGCGCGCGGCGATCGTCGCGGCGGCGGTCACGGTTGACGCGGGATCGATGTCGGCGGCGGCTTCCCTCAGCCTATCCGGGCATGACCCCGCCGCCGCTGGAGCGTTTCTTCGAGACGATCCACCGCGCGTTCGAGAGCCTGCCGGTGTATTCGGCCGAACTCTGGGCCGAGCCGGGTCGTGCGCTGTGCGCCGAATAAATCGTCGGTCGTGGTGCGTGTGGAGCGTCGTCGCGGCAATGAGCTGTACATCAACGACGGCGCGTACGGCGCGCTGTTTGATGCAGGCGCATATCGGTGGAAGTACCCGGTCCAGCTGCTGCGTGAGCCGGATTCCGACGCGCGGGACATGGACTTCAGCTTCTGGGCCCGACCTGCGACGATCTCGATCATGCAGGGTCCGTTCCGCTGCCTGCGGACACGAACACCGGCGATTATTTCGAGATCGGCATGCTGGTGCCTACGGCCCGCGATGCGGACGCAGTTCAACGGTTCACCCTGTCACGAGTTCGTCGTGACCGACGACGAGCCGATGTTGTCGGTCTATCGCGACGAGGCCGACAGGCCCGTCTGGCGAACGTCGTCAAGCTGTAACCCAGCCCGACAACAACCTATGGCCCTCCTGCGCCAGCGGGAGGGGAATGGGTAGCATTGCGGGTTCGCCCACGATAAGCTCCCTTCCCATACCGGTCCTGCCATTCGCGCAGAGCCGGGCCAGCCGGGTTACCGCGTCCCCATTAACGACGGCGGCTTCTCGATGATGATGGAACCATCCATGACCGACACGATCAACGACAACCGCAAGGCCGAGCTGCTCTCCAGCGTGGTCGAGCATATCGACATCACCAAGTTCGACGCCCGCCCGATCATCGATCTGGCGGGCAAGATAGGCTTCACCAGCCGCGACTCGCGCGCGACTGGCATCTACAACCAGATGCTGGCCGACAAGGACTGCTCGATCTTTCCTCGTTATCGCGGGTTCGACCTCGGCCGGCGGCTGCATGGACCTGTATGCCGAGCTGCTGCTTCGAACATGATCGACGGCGTGGTCGCGACCGGCGCGTCGATCGTCGACATGGATTTTCTTCGAGGGCCCGGTCACAAGCATTACCAGCGCTGGAAGTGCCGGACGACAACACGCTGCGTTCGCTTTACATCGACCGCATCTACGACACCTATCGACGAAGAGCAGCTCGTGATTGTGACCATACGATCGGGCAAGATCGCCGATCTGCTGGAGCCCAAGCCTATTCGAGCCGCGCCTTCATCCGCGTGAGATGGGCAAGTATCTGGCCGAGCATGGCAAGAAGGAAAACAGCCTCTGTCAGCTCGCTTATGAGCATGACGTGCCGATCTTCTGCCCGGCATTCGTCGACCGTCGGCCGGTTTCGGTCTGGTGAAGCATCAGGTCGAGCGCGCCAAGCGAAGGCAAGCCGTACATGGTGCTCGACGCTACTGCCGACTTCCGCGAATTGACGGACATCAAAGATCAAGGCAGGCACGACTGGCCTTTTGATGATCGGCGGCGGCGTTCGAAAATTTCATCAGGACACGGTTGTCTGTGCCGAGATCTCGGGGCCATGACGACGTCGAAATGCACAAATACGCGGTGCAGATCCGGTGGCCGATGGGACGGCGCCTGCTCGTCCTCGACGCTGAAGGAAGCGGCGAGCTGGGGCAAGGTCGATACCGCGCTTGAGCAGATGGTGTTTGCGGAAGCGGGCTTGGTCATGCCGTTGCTGGCTTCGGACGCCTATCATCGCGGCCACTGGCGGAGCGCGTAAAGCGTCGTTGGGGAGCGATTTTCGACTAATGCTGGAATTTCTTGAACGCGATCAGCTAGCTTACATCATCATCGGCGTCGTTCTGATCGCCGGGTTGGCCTTCGCGGTCCTTTCTATTCCCGGCGACGCAAGCGCGAAAAGCTGCGCCGCCGCGGGATCAAGAAGTGCGTATTGAGATGAGGCGGAACCGCAAGTTGTTCCGCCCCTTTCCAATGGGCCATGCTTTTCGCCGCTGCCTGGCGCTTTTCGCTTGCCTGGGGCAACGCGTGTCGGCACCCTCTCTCCTCATAGCGCTATCAGATGCGGGGAATGAGGGGATGCAGAAGTGATCGATCGACGCTCTCTGATCGGGGCGATGGCCACCGTGCCGCTGGCCGGTTGTGTTGCGGCGCAGGGCGCACCTGCTGCGAGCCCCGCGATGACGCCCCTCCGCCCCCTACCGAGCATTTTCCTGCTCTGGCCGGACGCCCGCCTGGCGCGCGCGCGAAATTGCCCACGCCCAAATCCTTCGATGAACGGCCCGCCGGACGGCAGGAGCTTTGGCTGCGCGGCACCGCCAATCCGATCGTCGCGGTCTTCCGACCCGAACGCCCTGACGGACGCGCCGTGCTGACCATTCCGGTGGCGGCTATGGCTTCGTCGATCCAGAATGAGGGATCGATGTCGCGCGGACGCTCAACCCGCATGGCATCACCGTCTTTGCCCTCTCCTATCGTCTGCCGTCCGAGGGTTGGAACGATCAGGCAAACGTCCCCTTCAAGATGCGCAGCGCGCAATGCGGCTAATCCGCGCGCATGCGGGCTGCCGCGGTATCGATCCCGCCAATCTCGGCATTGTCGGCTTCGGCGGGTGGTCATCGCCGCCTCGCTGACCGTGGGTTATGACGACAAGGTCCATGCACCCATCGACGCCGCCGACCGGCAATCGGCCAAACCGCGTTTTTCGGGCTGGTCTATCCGGTCGCCAGCCTGTCGACCTCCACCACGCATCCGGATCACGCGACAATCTGTTGGCCCCAATCCGATCCCGCCATCAAGGCCCGCTACGATACGCCCCGGCGGATCAAGGCGAGCACGCCGCCGCTCTTCTTCGGTCCATGCCGTCGATGACGGGCTGGTCCCGTCGACCAATCGATCGACGTCCTGACGCAGGCGCGCGCCGCCAAGGTGCCGGTCGAGGCGCATTTCTTCGAGAAGGGCGGCCATGGCTTCGGGGCGCTTAATGCGCCGAGGCTCGCCCGCGCGGCTGTGGCCCGACCTGTTCGACCGCTGGGTCGCGCAGACGCTCAAAGGGGTGATGGACGGATGGCGGGGGAATTATTGCAATCCCCGCCCCATTCGGCCTGGAGCGAAGTCGAAGGCCATGACAGACGGACCCCGCTGGGGCGTGCGCTTGACTTCGTTCAGCGTGAACGGCGGTGGATACCCTTTTTCAGAACAGCCGCTTCAGGCTCCGCTCCAGCATCAGCATCTGCCACAGCGTTCGCGGTGTGTTCGGCGCAGCCCGATCGATGGTCGGCCGCCAGCCGCTCCAGCTCGGCTAGGGTCGAACCACCCCGTCTCACGCAGCAGGCCCGAATGCGCGAGCCCGCCGCATCGTCCGCCAAAGCCCCCGGAACCGTGCACCGATCGGCGTGACGAACCCCATTTTGGGCCGGTACAGGATGTCGCGCGGCAGATAGGGCTCGAGCGCCTTCTTCATCAGCCATTTGCCCTGCCCCTCACCCGCATCGCGGCGGGCAGGCGCGCGGCATATTCGACCAGCCGGTGGTCGAGCAGCGGCTCACGCGCCTCCAGCCCCCCACCGCCATCGAGGTGCGGTCGGTCTTGGTCAGGATATCGCCGGGCAGCCAGATTTTCAGATCGGCATATTGTGCGCGGTCGATCGCATCGCGCGCGGGGGCATCGCGCATCGCCGCGACATAGCGATCCTCTGCGCGGTGCCCGCCCAAGGCTGCCTTTGGCCTCCGCCGAGAAGCCAGTCGCGCGCGCCATTTCGGGGCTGGTAACGCCGACGGCGCGCGCATAGGCCTCCGCCCCGTCCATCCCCAGCGCGAGGGTCGTCTTGGCGCGCAAGGGGCGCGGCGCCCAATCCGCCTTTGGGGTAATAGCGCCCCAGCGTGCCGAACAGACCGGCGCGCAGCTCGGCGGAAACAGACCCCGGACACGCTCCTCGCCGGCGTGAAAGACATGGCGGCGATAGCCCGCCAGCGCCTCGTCCGCGCCGTCACCAGACAAAAAGCGACCGTGACATGCTCGCGCGCCAACTGACACAGGCGATAGGTCGCCAGCGCCGAGGCATCGGCAAAGGCCTGTCGAAAATGATCGACCAGCGTATCGATCAGCGCGAAGTCGTCGGCGCGTACGACCTGCTCGACATGATCGGTCGCGAAACGCTGGCGATGGTGCGGGCATAGCCGCGCTCGTCATGCCCCGCCCCGCCTCGAAGCCGATGGTGCAGGTCCGCACCGCACGCGGGAAGCCTCCGCCATCAGCGCGACCACGCCCGAGCTGTCGACCCGCCTGACAGAACGCGCCGAGCGGCACGTCGGCGACCATCCGACTGGTGACGCCAGCCCCGCATATGGGCGAGCAGCCCTCGCCCAGCGTTGCCGCCGATCCGCTCTCCCGGTTGGAGAAATCGACATCCCACCATTGGCGTGGCCTGGGGATCGCGCCCACGCTCGATCAGCAGGAAATGGCCGGCGGCGCTTGCACGCCTGCCACGATACTGGCGTCGTCGGGGACATAGCCCAGTGCCAGATAACTCGACCGCGCGGATATCGGGCCGCCGCCGGAACAGCGGATGCGCCAGCACCCCTTCATTTCCGAGCAAAGGCGATCGCGCCATCGGGCAGTTCGGCCCAGTGGAGCGGCTTCACCCCAGCCGGTCGCGCGCGAGGAAACAGCACGCCCGCCTCGGGCGTCATGCACGGCAAAGGCGAACATGCCGACCAGCCGGTCGAGCATCGCCGGGCCCCAGTGGCGCCAGCCGGAGCAGCACCTCGGTATCGCCATCGGTACGGAACACCGCGCCCAGCTCGCAACCCGTCGCGCAAGCCGCGGTAATTATAGATTTCGCCGTTTGAAGCAGACCGCGACCTCGCCATCGACCATCGGTGGGGTGATCCGGCGACATCGATGATCGATACCTGGCATGCGCGAAGCCGACACCCGGCGCGGTCCATACTCCCTGCCCGTCCGGCCCGCGATGCGCCTGCACGCCGATCATCGCGCGCAGCCGTGGGCGGGATCGACTGGCTTGGCGTGGCGGGATGGAAAGGCCGGCGATACCGCACATGCTGGGTCAGCGCTGCCCGGTCAGTCGGTCGGCGCGAAACGATCGATCGGCCCCAGCGCCCGGACGAACGCCTCGATCGCCTGCGGATCGTCTCCTTCGCTCGACACATGCACCGCAACGGCCATCTGGCGCTGGCCTAGCAGCGGGCCTTCATCGTCTCGATCTTCACCTGCCGCATACTGGGCGCGTCAGGCTATCGCCGATCCGGTACGTGTCGCAACATCGCGCTTTGCATCGACTGGCCGAGCGGCCCGGTCGTGATCATCCGCATGGCGCTTCCCCCGCGATGGGCGCCAGATCGGCGACGCGGATCCAGCGATCATCTTCCTGCAACACGCCCGTCCCGAACGCGCCCAGCTTGCCTCCCTCGCGCTGGCGCGAGAAGACGGCGACCGCCAGATCGACCTGATGCCCCTGCCCGTCCGTGTAGGTGCGCTGCATCACCGCATCGGCGCCGGGATATGCGGCGCCCAATCGCTGCGCTGCTGCGCCGGGGTCCAGCCGGGCACGTCGGGCAGCGCCATCTGCGCGGGCAGCAACGCCGCGCGGCTGCCGGCATAGCTGCTCCAGCTCGGGAAGACGGCGGTGATCGCCTTAGCGCCAGTACCGCTGTCAGCAGCGGGTCGATCCGGCGTTTGGGCGTGGGCCGACAGTCTGCCGGGATCGAAGGCGGATCATCGGGGGAACGATCGAAAAACTGCCAGCCGATGGCCAGCACCGCCGCCATCACCAGCGCGAAGAACACCCAGCCAAAGATGATATGATCGACGCCCCCGCCACCTCGATCGAGGTCAGGTCGGCGGCGAAGATCGTCCCCCGTGCGCGCACGCCATTGGCGTGATCGGCACGATCACCGACACGATCATGAAGATCGCCCGCCGCCAGAGCGAGCGGGAAGCAGAGATTGGCGACCAGCGCGGCAAAGGCGATCATCGCCAGCACGAATTTCGAGCCCGAACAGGCCTCCGCCACTTCGAACCAATAGCGTCCGGCATGGATCAATACGCCGTCCGCCGAGGCCGGAATCCCGCTCCAGTTCAGCAGCGGCATGACGATCGAAACCGTGATCTGCTGAAGCGGCTTTTCCAGTTCCGCGCCGAAGGGAACGAGGAACCGTGCATAGGCCAGCGGGAAGAGCAGACCGCGCGCGACCATCGGCCCGAGCAGCGTGATGACCAAGCCCCTCCAGCGTCGTCAACCAGCCCCATCTGCCGGATAGGCGCCACCGTCGCGGGACTCGCCTGCAGCCAGAGAAGCTACCCGCGACCCATAGCAACCCCGGCCACCGGGCGGTCGGCGTCGGTGCGACAGCTCATTGTGCCGCTGCCCACCAGCCAGCTGACGACCGGCCCGATAAACAGGCAATGGCCATAGGTCGTGCTGGTCCACCAGATCTCGACCAGATGGGTGAGACGTCGCGCCCAGAAGATCGCGGGATCAGCGCCGTCGCCGCACCCAGCGCGCCCGTGTGATAGGCCAGCGCCCCGGCCCGCATCCGATCCCCATGTCACGCGGCGACATCCTCAACAACAGATCGAGCGGCGCCAGTCTCGCGCCAGTCATATCGGTCAAGCACCCGCGCGCGCGCAGCGTTGGTCGTGGGGTCCTTCAGCGCGGCGATGAGCTTGTCGGCAAGGTCGAGATCTCCGCCGCCACGGCGATCATTGCCCCCATGGTCGATCCCCTCGGCTGCCGCCCGCGAAGCGACGATCGGGCGGGCCATCGCCATCGCCTCCAACACCTTGTTCTGGATGCCCGCGCCAGCGTGAGAGTGCGACGCAGACGGCGGCGGCCGCCAGCAGATACGCGTGTCGGGCACTTGCCGGTCACGATCACATCCTCGCCCGCCAGCCTACGCCCCCGGCGTCGGCGCGCGACCGACGATGGCGAAGCGCGCAGTGGGGTGGGCCTTACGGACTTGCGGCAGGATCGCTTCGGCGAAATGGGTCACCGCGTCGATATTGGGCTGATAGTCCATCTGCCCGGTGAAGACGATCAGCGGGCCCCGGCTCCGCGACCGGCGTGACGATGGCAGGCCGTAGACGCTGGCATCGATCCCGCCCTCGACCGCCATCACTCGCCCTTCCCCGCCACCGGCGCGGAACAGCGCGGCCTTCGGCTTCGCTGACGAACAGCGTGGCATCCATGCCCGCCGCCACCCGGCGCTCGAACGCACCGAGCCTCCGCGCCTCGCGTCGGAGGATCAGCCGCTTCGCAACGCCCGCACGCTCCGCAAGCGCGTCGAACTTCGCGGAGTCGACATCGACCATATCCATGATCGTCGGCTCTTCCCCGGCATATTGCGCCATCTGGGCGGAAAAGATGGCAGCCGCCACGTTGTTCCGCCGGACCTGCCGCACGGCTTTCGCCATTTCCGGGTGCGCGAAGGCGGTCAACGATACCGGTGCGCTGGTCGCCAGCACTCGGAACGCGGCCAGCGGCATGGACTTCGAGCGGCGGACGATGCGGCAACCTGGCCAACAGGTCGGTGAAGGCAGGCGGCGGATTCAGGGTCCTCGCTCTGTAAAGGTACAGAGATGGATGCGCCAATCGCGGCGGCTGAGGTGGCGAAGGATATGATAGCTGCGGATTTGTCGCCGCGATCGGGCGGGAATGGCACGCGGTGTGCGGGGAACAGCAGGTCCCTCACCCAGCGCCCTGCGCGATCGGCGGCCCGCCAGCCGCGCCGCCCAGACCGGCATCCGCTTCCACACCGCGATCATCAGCGCATATTTGGGATTGAGCGGATTGATCGCACGCGCGGGCTCGTGAACGCTGCGGCTGGCATAGGAGAGCGGACGCCCTCGAACCCCAATTTTTCTTGAACGCCGCCGCGCCGGTCCTGACCTTCGACCGACGGAAGTCGAAGCTGTGGCAACCTCGCGCCCGGGCATGGCGCATCAGCGCGAAATACATCAGATCATTGGCGCGCAACCCCGCGCCGCCTGCGTCCCCCGCCCCAATAGGGATAGACGGTGCCGGCGTGATACAGGCTGAGCACGCTCGCCACCGCGCGTCCTTCATGCCGGACAGTCAGGATATCGGCGTCGAGGCGCGCGACCGCCTCGCGGAAAAGCGGCGGGGAAGACCGGGGTGCCGGAGATTGCGGACCGATTCGGCATAGATGCGGTAATGCTCAGCCAGCATTCGGGGGCTGTCGCCGGTCTCGACGATCAGGTCGTTGGCCAGCGCCTTTGCGCACCTCAGCGCGCCGCTTGCGGGGATCGCCTTTAGCTCGGCCTCGTCATCGGTCGCGATGGGACGGACGAAAACCCAGATAGCTGTCGCCATCCACGGCCCAGCCGGTCGGAGCCGGGCCGCCGCGCAGTTCGACCGATCTGATCCCGCGCGCCTGCGCCAGCTCCCGTGCGGCCTCGGCAAGCAGATCGGCCCCTCGCCCAGCACACCGCCATCGACGCCGAACCCGGTCGACACCATCGCCGCGCCAAACAAGGGCGAGCGGATTTCGCTGAGCGGCAACAGTCCGGCAATGGTCATATCAGGGCGATCGGCGACGAGATAATGCGCCTTTTGCCCGCATCCTCGCGCCCCGGCGAGCAACCAGCCGGTCAGGTAGCGGGCGTCCGCCCCCGCTTCCGCCACGAACGCGTCGATCCGTTGGGTCATCCTCGCGCGCCAGATCGGCGACGCGGACGGCCAGGCTGGTGCGGTCATGCGAGCCGCGCCGCTTCCTCGGCCGCAACCTCATCGACCGCCCCAGTCGTGCCGGCTGAGCAGCCACGCAACTTGCCCGCCATAGCGCCCAACCGGCTGTAATGCCGCACCTTGACCGCAGCGGCGCATCGGCGACGCGCGCGGCTGGTCGGGATCGACCTCCCAGGTGGAAAAGAAGATCGCGCCGTGCCGGTCGCGATTGACCTGCCCGACCGCGATGTCGGTCAGCTTGGCGGCGCAGCATGGGTGCTGCCGCCAGTCGCCAGCCGCCGTTGGCCCCATTGCGCCACCGTCACCGGCAATTCGATCAGATCGGCATCCGCCAGCGGCCGCCACGCATAGCGCGGCGATTCCGCCCAGCCACGACGATCGTGGCGCAGCGGCGCGACGCTCGACGGGCAGCGATAGCCCGCCTCGGCCAGCACCGGATGCGCCGGGCGTCCGCGTGTCGATGGAGAAGCTGGGTGCGCGGTATCCGGTGACGGCCTGCCCGCCGGCATTCTCGATCGCCGCCTGGCGCGGGCCAGATCGGCGCGGAACTGGTCGCCGTCATGGTGAAGACGCTGATGGTCCCAGCCATGGCTCGCCATCCCATGCCCGGCCGCCACGATGCGCCGGATCAGCCTGGGATGGCGATGCGCCACCAGCCCAGCGTGAAGAAGGTCGCCCGCGTCCCCGTCTCGGCAAAGAGCAGAGCACGGCATCGGTATTGGCCTCGACCCGGCTGTCGAGCCGGTCCCAGTCGCCCTTGTCGATCGTCTTTCGAACGCGCCGACACCGGAACCATTCCTCGACGTCGACCGACATGCCGTTGAGCGGCGGCCGCTCCGGGATCAGGCGGCATGGCCCGGTGCCGCCGAACGGATCGTCGCGCCTTCCCGCTTGGTCTCACCGCATTGTCCATCTCCGGTCCAGTCGACCCAGCAAGGTCAGGACCCGGCGCAACGCCGCCTCCTGCTGCTCCAGCCGCCTCCAGCTGCCACGCGGTCCTCCAGCGCGGCGGTCGCGTCCTGCTTGGCATCCTCGACCGGGGCTGGCTCCGGTTTGGGGGGCGCCATCGGACTTGGAGCGATACCGGTTCGGGCGCGGGCGGTGGCGCGACGACGCGGTGCGCGCGCTGCGCTCGGTCGCCTCGCCTTGGTCCATGGGGCGGTGCGGATAATCGGATCGGCGGCAGCGCCATTGGCGTACAGGCCTGCCTGCAGCGTCCTGGCAGTCGCGGCAATCCCGGCGGCAGCACCGTCGAGCGTCGCGGCACAGCGTGCCCGCACCAAAGGTCGAACGATCGAACGACGCCGGCGCGACGATCGGCGTGGCCTGTGGCGCGGCGGGTTCGGTTGGCTGCCGATGGGCTTCGCCGCCCATATCGGCGGCCATGTCGGCAGCAACGCTGCGCACCGTGTCCGCTCCGATCAGCTCGACACCCCTCGATCGCCGCCTGCAACAGCACCCGGCCTGCCAGCACGTTCAGCCGGCGCGGCACGCCGCCTGAGGCCTCGTAGAGCGCGTCGAACGCGTCGCCCGCGAAATCGGGACGGCCGGTCCAGCCCGCCACCGCCAGACGGTGCGCGATGTAATCCGGCACCTCCTCCGTCCATCGGGTCGAGATGGTGAATGGCAATGACCGGCTGGCGCAGCTGCTCGACCGCTCCGAGCCCAGCAGGCGGTCGCGAAAATTCGGGTTGGCTGACCAGAAGGATCTGGAGCAGCGCATGGCCGCCTGCCCGAAATTGGAGAGCATGCGCAGCTCTTCGAGCGAGGCGAGCGGCAAAGCCTGTGCCTCGTCGACGATTAGCAGGACGCGGCGACCATCGCGCGCGACGCCGTTCAGCGCCCGCTCGGTGGCCGACAGCAGCGCAGCCTTGACAGGCCTTGCGCATCGACGCCGAGCTGCCCGCCACGGTGCGCAGCAGATCGCGTCGGGTCGATCGCGGTCGACACGATGTGGAGCACGCGGACGCGGCGCGTATCGAGCGTCCGGACCAGATGGCTGACCAGCGTCGTCTTGCCGCGCCGACATCGCCGGTGATGACGATGAAGCCCTCACCCTGCGCCAAGCCATAGCCGAGATAGGCCATCGCCTTGCCAT